TGACGAGCGGCCTGGTGCGAGGGCAGGGCTGGGGGCTGGGGGATGCTGAGATGCAGGCCATACCGCGGGCAGCCGTCCCCCGTTCCCGTGAGCGACGTCCCTGCGACACCCGGCCAGCTGTGGGGCCGCAGGTGTTTCCCAAAAGGAAGTTCCTGCCCCGGGACCCGGCTTCCTGCAGCGCCGCCCTGCAGCCCTCCCGCCAGCGAGGGATGGGGCTGCACTCCCCGCCGGCCGGCTGGCCCCCGGCTGATGGCCCCTGGCCACTGTCCCCTGGCCACTGTCCCCTGGTCGATGTCCCCGAGCCGGTGTACCCCAGCCGCTGTCCCCTGAGCCGATGTCCCCGGTCAATGTCCCCCAGCCACTGTCCCTCAGCGGAGGCTGTGGGACGGCGCTGCAGCCCCCGGCCAGTGCGTGGGCAGGCAGATGCCGGGGCTGCCGACAGCAACTTATTTTTTCTCTTAAAAAATTTACGTATGCAAATCCTCATGCAGACGAGGCGCTCGCCGCCCTGGCTGCTTCCTCTGACGCTCCGGAGCCACAGCAGGGGCTGGGCCCGGCTGTGCCTGCCCGCGATGGTGAGTGTCACGGCGGCAACGCGGGGCACTTTGCTGCTGCCATCCCTGTCCCAAATTTAGGGGTGCTCTGGGTGAACCAGAGCAAAGGCTGGAGCGCTGTGGGGCTGGGGAGGGGACCTGGGAGAACTTCTGGCACGGGAACACCGGGGCCAGGAGAGACACAGCAAAGCCCATGGCCTCCCTGGCCCCTCCGGGCTGGGCTGCACAGCGCGAGCCCCATGCCCTGCACCCCCCCATGCTCTGCACCCTGCTTTGCCCTGCACCCCCCGCCGTGCCCTGCACCCCGTCACAGGCCAGTGCTCGGGGGTTCCCTCTTTTCTCTTCCCTGGGGACAGAGAACCAGGCTCACACCGTGGCCAGCCTGTGCTGACCCCGTGCCCCCCACTGCCGCCTACGGCCCCGCACCGGGTGAGGAAACAGCCCGGGGGCCGCTCTGGGGTGCCGGGACCCAAATCCCCCCCCGGGCTGCC